CCCAATTAATTAAAAATACCTTTAATGGAAAGTCAAGTTTCCTAAGAAATCCATATTCAGATAAATAGGAGAAGACATTTACAGCCAGCATGTTTTTCCAGAGCCTTTGCTGGGACTAATGTCAACAAAAAATTTAATATGGCAGTCTTGTATTTTAAGCTCACACTTTTGGGGATACATTTTCAGGTCTTCTTTAATGTGGGAACTGCAAATATAACTTCCATTACATGGTAATGGGAGTTAAAGAATGTAGAGTCCTCATGTAAAGATTAGAACATACTTTTCTCTTAGTCCTTCAAGGACAGACTTTTCAAAATGTTTGATTCTACTAATCCCATGCTGTGAATAGACTTGTTACTCTTCACTTTATAAATGTGACTGGGCTATGTGAGATCTGGTATCAATCGATCAAGATTTGAGTTTCAGTTATGGATGAAAACAGTCTCAATTCAACTTTTATTACCCCCATCATGAGTATGCAGGGTGCAGACAAAAGCTTTTTATCAGCTAACTATATGAAAAGATAAACACTGTTATAATCCATGTGATCCAAAATGGGCAAAAGCAAAAGACTAGCTAGCTTCCCCTCAAGAAGAAAAGTTTCAGACCTATGAAAAGGACAATACTAATAAAAAAAATTTGTATTTACTTAGAAGCATTCAGAATGTCAACAAAACAGCTGCAACTTTTTTTTGTTTTTTTGCAATTACAGAGTGGTATTCAGTTAACAGAACAACAATTATTTCATAGAAGCTGCATCAGAGACAACTGAAGATGAAAAACTACCATTCCCATATATAACTAATTTGTGCTGTGCACCAAGAACCTGCTTTAAATTTCCATGCCAATTTACAACCCCCATACTGTACCAGGCAAGGAAGAAAGCAGCAAATTTAGTTTCATTGTGAAGTCTCAGCAATTTGTACTGCTGATACTTTTAACTGGAAACATAGAATCAAGTGCCTGTTAAGACAAAGCTGAAAAATAAATTCCCAACTTTCCTTTTCTTCCATGCATGCTGACACATTGCTATTAACTGTAAATAACAACATGTGATGAGATGCACTTAGAATGCCAGTTGTTCAGGGTTCTTTTCTCATGCAAAACATTTCTCAAATTTGGAAAGACTCAGATGTGCTTCAACTAATTGCCTTAGGAATCTGGGTGGGGATTTTTAATGGATTTCATATATGAATCATATTTATAATAGGCTTTAAACTTTCCTTGAATATATAATAATAATGATAGAGAAAAGTTCTATATCTAATTTTTTTATAGTTTCTTCTCAATTTAAATTTTAAAAGGATTAAACAAATTACAGGTAAAAATGTTTTTTTTTTCCCCATAAACGTCCATCTAGCAGAGGGAACACTACTAAAATTCACTCATTTCAAAGCAGTTCTAAATTTCTGATTTTTGACCCAATAAAAAGTTCACTATAGTTTAGAATGTCTATAATTTAATGACCCCAAAATAGCAAATAAGTATAGAAAGGAGTTTATCTTGAAAATAATTATTTTTTAACAACCCAAACATATCTGTAATCTTAGAGAAAATATGCACAAATGAATTGGAATATGGAAAAACTTTCAGGTAATTACATAAAAATAAAATACTGATTTGACTCAGTGATAATATTGTGAGAATTATCCACTTGGATTTGTGTTATTTTAATATAATATTTGCAGTAAAATAATATTTTTAAATAAGAAAAAGAAAAACAGTCCAAAATTCTAGCCCATTGTTAACTAAAGTCACAAGGAGAGGTGTTTTGTTTTTTTTTTTTTCTTCAAAATACAATAAGCTAAGCAGGTGTTCACAAGTGTTTCTACATGTTGGTCACTGTGGTTATAATGTAATACTAGTTTTTATTAGTCTATCTCTATTATATTTTTTGTTTGTATTTGCCTTTTGTCACATGGTCTCCATGTCCTACCTCAGAATCCTATAAAGCAAGCACAAGAGCTCAATAAAGAAAATTACTAAATATTTGAGTAAATAATGAGGGTAAATTTTTATCTTTAGCCAGCTACACAGTCTAATAGAAAATGTAAGATGTAAAAAATGAAGCACCACATGAATTTAGCCTGTTATTATATTAATTTCTTCTTAAAACAACATCCTTTGGGGTGATGTCCTTCACTTGCATTCTTTGTTATTGCCAGGATCTTTTCCAGCATAATAGTATTGATATAAGTTTTGTTTGGATTTTCTTTTAGAGGGGAGGGGTTGTGGAAGGGACTAGATGAGGAGCTGTGTTTTATAGACATTGATGATTTTCCAAAGAGAAGGAAATACTCCTTTCCAAAACAATTTCTCACAAACTTTAAGGAGAGAGATATAGTGGGAAACCTGAGTTGAGTCTAAGCTTATAACATTGTTTCTTGCCATGGTTTAAAGTTGAAAACTCATGTTGAAATTCATAATTAAAGACATTCCATGCTCATGGATTGGAAGAACAAATATTGTTAAAATGTCTATACTATCCAAAGCAATGTTCACATTTAATGAAATCCCTATCAAAATACCATCAGCATTTTTCACAGTGCTAAAATAAGCAATCCCCAAATTTGTATGGAACCACAAAAGACCCCAAATAGCTAAAGCAATCTTGAAAAAGAAAAGCAAGTCTGGAGACATCACTATTCTGGACTTCAAGTTATATTACAAAGCTATAGTGATCAAAACAATATGGTACTGGCACAAAAATAGACACATAGATCAATGGAACAGAATAGAAAACCCAGAAATGAACCCACAACTATATGATCAATTAATCTTCAGCAAAGCAGGAAAGAATATCCAATAGAAAAAAAGACAGTCTCTTCAACAAATAACAGCGGGAAAACTGGACAGCAATATGCAGAAGAATGAAATTGGACCATTTTCTTACACCATACACAAAAATAAATTCAAAATGGATCAAAGACCTAAATGTGAAACCTGAAATCATAAAAATCCTAAAGAAGAACACAGGCAGTAACCTCTTTGACATAGGCCATAGCAAATTCATTTTAGATATGTCTCCTGAGACAAAGGAAATAAAGCAAAAATAAGCAACTGGGACCTCATCAAGATAAAAAGATTCTGTACAGTGAAGGAAACAATCAACAAAACTAAAAGGCAACCTTTGGAATGTGAGAAGATATTTGCAAATGACATATCTGATAAAGGGTTAGTATCTAAAATATATAAAGAACTTATACAACTCAACACTCCAAAAATGAATAATCAAATTTAAAAATGGGCAGAAGACATGAATAGAAACTTTTCCAAAGATGACATACAGATGGCCAACAGACACATGAGAAAATGCTCACATCCTTGATCATCAGGGAAATACAAGTCAAAACTACATTGAGATATGAACTCACACTTGTCAGAATGGTTAAAAGCAACAATACAGGAAACAACAGGTGTTGGTGAAAATGTGCAAAGAGGAACCCTCTTGCACTGTTAGTGGAAATGCACACTGGTACAGAAACTCTGGAAAACAGTATGCAGGATCCTCAAAAAGTTAAATATAGGACTATCCTATGATCCAGCAACTGTACTACTAGGTATCTACCCAAAGAATACAAAAATAGTGATTCAAATGGATACATGCACCCCGAAGTTTATAGCAGCATTATCTACAATAGCCAAATTATGGAAATAACCCAAGTGTCCATCAACTGAAGAATGGGTAAAGAAGAGGTGGTATGTATATATATGAATATTATATATATCATATACAAGATTGTGTATATACAATGGACTATAACTCAGCCATAAGAAAGAATGAAATCTTGCTATTTGCAAAGACATGGATGGTGCTAGAGAATATTATGCTAAGGGAAGTAAGTCAGTCAGAAAAAGACAAATACCATATGATTTCACTCATATGTGGAATTTAAGAAGCAAAACAAATGAGCAAAGAGGAAAAGAAAAAGAGTGGGAGGCAAACCAAGAAACAGATTCTTAACCATAGAGAGCAAACTGATGATTACCAGAGGGGAGGTGAGTGGGGGGATGGGTTACATTGGTGATGGGGATTAAAGAGTGCACTTGTGATGAGCACCAGGTGCTGTATGGAAGTGTTAAATCATTCACTATATTGTACACCTGAAACTAACACTGTATGTTAACCAACTGGAATTTAAATAAAAACTTAAAAAATAATCAGTAATTAATGCATAAAGTGCCTATATTTTTACATGTTTATTTCATCTGTGAACATTAATCACACATTTTGTATTGATTCTGCAGTTTTTATCTCTTTCAGTAAGATTTTGTAATATGTGATTATGGAGACAGCACATTTTCAACGTTTTATGGCACAAGGTATCATAAAAAGCCATTTTATGGTTCTCCAGTCATTAAAATCTTACTGGAACAGTGAAAAGAATTCTGCCTACTACCTGGGGATAATGTGATCATTATGCTGGAGTTTAATGGAGTAAGGATAAAGGCCAAACACAACATGGCCCTGTGTTTTATTTGACCCTGTGATCGTTTAGCACTGTAATGGGAATCCAGTACAGCTGTCAATTCTGACTTTCCAATTAACTCAGGAAAGTATGCAACCCTGTATCTTATTTCCTAAGCAGAAATAGTATTGGGAATTATTTTTTATTAAAAAAAGTATGAGAGTTCCTTCTGCCTAGGTGATCACCTCCTGCTTTGATTTTGGGATCAGCAGCCTAAAATTAATATTTTAAGATAATAAATAAAAACATAAAATTTTAAAATAAAGAAAAATATTGAAAAAGCTTTTTTTTTTTTTTTTTTTTTAATCTTGGCACAGAGGAAGCGGGAAGTTACTTAGCAGGGTTCCGGGTTTCCTCACGCCCCGCCCGCCCTACCACAGCTAAATGGTTTTCGTCCTTGGGTCGGTCTGTTCTGCGGAGAGCAATCCACGTCCATGGTCCCCGCTCCGCCCGCCCGCTGCGCATCTGCCCTTCTCCTCTGACTCCGCCCCGCATCTGTCCGGAACCGCCTCCCGCCTGAGCTGACCCAGTGCGTGTCTGCCAGTCAGTCCCTCCGGACCTGCCGCGAGTCTCAGACTGCCGAAATTACCGCGCGTCACTCGGTCCGTACCCGGTGGGCATCTGGGGTATCTGGGCGGTCTCCCGTCTCCAGCGCGTGTGTCTGTCTGTCTGTCTTCCTGTACGATCTGATCCGCCGTCTGCAGCCAGCCTTCCGGCCCCAGCGCACCAAGTGTTTAGTCTGCCCTTTTGCTGACGCTGAGTGTGTTTAGCGGCCTTAGTTAGCTGAGAGCCCGCCTGAGACCGGCCAGGGAGCCGGCGGAGGAATACACGTTTGGCCCCTGCCCATGTTAATAGAATTTTAAGCCAACAGGAGCTCGAGGCCTATGTTTATGCAGAAAACAGGTCTCGTCTCGAGGCCTCTGTCTGCAATGCTGGATGTGGGGTGACAGCTGCTTGATGATTTCTTACAATTAAATGGGGAACAGGAAATTTTTTTCTTACTACTGGCTTTTGAAACAGATTTTAAATCTTAATGGGTGGAAATTATAAGTCCCCTTAGATCAGATTCGTTATTGGGATGCATTTTTGTCTGATGTGTTTGTTCTGAACCTGCTGACCAGCTGTTTCTGAACTTCATTTTCTCAGCCTCAACAGTGATTCTGAGTCTGCTTTTAGCTTCCTTCTCCTTGGCTTTCTTCTGTTTGTGAACAGCTGCTTGGCCCATAGCTTAGAGAATTCAGCCTTCTTTTCTCTCCCAAGAGAGCCACCTCCCTGTACTCAGAAAGATGGGGAGTGGAGAGCCTAATCCTGCTGGCAAGAAAAAGAAGTACCTAAAGGCTGCCCTGTACGTGGGTGACTTGGACCCAGATGTCACGGAGGACATGCTTTATAAAAAGTTCAGGCCTGCTGGCCCTCTGCGCTTCACCCGAATCTGCCGTGACCCTGTCACCCGCAGCCCCCTGGGCTATGGCTATGTTAACTTCCGCTTTCCTGCAGATGCTGAGTGGGCCCTGAATACCATGAATTTTGATTTGATTAATGGCAAACCTTTCCGCCTCATGTGGTCTCAGCCAGATGACCGTTTAAGAAAGTCTGGAGTTGGAAATATATTCATCAAAAACCTGGATAAATCCATAGACAATAGGGCCCTTTTTTATTTATTTTCTGCTTTTGGGAACATTCTCTCATGCAAAGTCGTATGTGATGACAATGGCTCTAAGGGTTATGCCTATGTGCACTTTGACAGCCTGGCCGCTGCCAATAGAGCCATCTGGCACATGAATGGAGTGCGGCTTAATAACCGCCAGGTGTATGTTGGCAGATTCAAATTCCCAGAAGAGCGGGCAGCTGAAGTCAGAACCAGGGATAGAGCAACTTTCACCAATGTTTTTGTTAAAAACTTTGGAGATGACATGGATGATGAAAAACTGAAGGAAATCTTTAGTGGATATGGGCCAACTGAGAGTGTTAAGGTAATAAGAGATGCCAGTGGGAAATCTAAGGGCTTTGGATTTGTGAGGTATGAGACACACGAGGCTGCCCAAAAAGCTGTATTAGACCTGCATGGAAAATCCATCAATGGGAAAGTTCTATATGTAGGGCGAGCACAGAAGAAAATTGAACGATTGGCTGAGTTAAGACGAAGATTTGAACGGCTGAGATTAAAAGAAAAAAGTCGGCCTCCGGGGGTGCCTATCTATATTAAGAACCTGGATGAGACCATCGATGATGAAAAACTGAAGGAGGAATTTTCTTCCTTTGGATCAATTAGCCGGGCCAAAGTGATGGTGGAAGTAGGGCAAGGCAAAGGGTTTGGTGTTGTCTGCTTCTCCTCTTTTGAAGATGCTACCAAAGCAGTGGATGAGATGAATGGTCGCACAGTGGGCTCCAAGCCCCTGCATGTTACCCTGGGCCAGGCCAGGCGCAGGTGGTGAGAATAAGAATGCTCAATTTGTTTCAGCCTTAAGCTGGTGCCTACTTAGTTTGGGCTACTTTGTGATAAGAGGTTATTTTATTCCAGGTTATTTTTTTTTAAGTGAATACTTTCTTTTGAAAAAAAAAAAGTAAAACTAGAAAACCTTGTTCATTTTAGTGAAGAACATAATTTCTAATTGTAAAACTGTCATTTTGTACTATTTTTTGATAAAATATCCTTAGAAATATGTAGAATAAAATTCATCCCTCCACATACTGTTTTGTTTTTCCTAAACCAGTCCAGGTAAGGTAATTGGTTGAACATAGGTTCCTTCCTTATTCCAGTTATAATACTAAATGTAATTGCTTCTATGAAAATATTCTCAAAATGGACATTATTTCTGAATCTATCACACATAAAACTTTTACTTGCTTTTTGAGAAATCAGTAGAGCAGGGGAAAATGTATGTGATCCGCTTAACATTTGTGCATAATTTTACCTTATTTAAAGTGAATGTTATTTTAAAGAGATGTGAGTTTCTTTATTTATACTTTTTTTTTTCCCTTTTCTAATATATTGTGGGCATACCACAGAGTTGGCAGTGGCTTTGACTAAGTGTTGGGAGTTTTCTTTAACTTCATGCCCAGAGAAATAAACATATTGGTGTTTTCTCAATCAGTACCTTAAGAAACTAACACTTTAAGCATTATTAAAATGAGTTACATCTTAAAAATCTGAGAGATTTAATATATGAGGACAGTCTAAGGAGCATTCTTGCCACTCATTTTTTTAAAACTCTTTAGTAGTATAGATGGGTCATGTTAAAATAATGAAAAAGATGAATAACTGCACTGAATTGCCTTTACCTGTAGATAATTTTAAAATTTTACCTCCGCCTCTATGAAGTGTCAATATAAGGATAAATAATCCATACAGTGATGTTGAAAAACTACATTGAAGAATATCTTCAATATTAAACTTGTCATTATCTCTTGTAAATTTTTTAATACATCCTTGTGATAATATTCACATATGTATCAAAAGTAAGGAAAAGCTTGTCTCTTGATTAAATCATATGCCTCCATCTATTATATGAGAGCTATTAATCCAGTATGGTTCTCTTTATGTCTGGCTGCTTGGAAGTTGTGACAAAATGTTCTGTTCTATAATGCAGTTACATTATTTAGCCTGTAATTTCTCGATTACAGATTTTTCATATTTTACTTGTAGTCCCCTCTTTTCCCCACCCATCTACCTTCCATCCATATTATACTTACTTTTATGTTTTCTTTAGATTGCCTTTCATTTAATATGTGGGTGTTCAAACCCATTTTGGAAGTAGAGAAATTATTACTTAATTTATGTAAAACTTAAATAATTACTTTTTAAAAATAGGATTCACTCATATCACAGATCCAACCATAAGAAAATGTTTTGTCTCTATTCTTAATTGGCTTTTATTATGTTATATAGAAATCTTAGGTTACATACATAATGCAATATAAATATATAATTTTGTTAACACTTTTGTTAGCTATGCCCATAAAATAATGGGAAAAATCTCTTTCTGTGTAATTGTTTATCTACAAATTACATTTATATTCATTATCAAGTATTTTCAAATGGAAATCACTGTTTTTGTTGATCATATACATAATACATGCTCATTTAAAAAATGTACACAATGCAGACATTTATAAAGAAGTAAAATTTCCACAGGTCAGAGATAACCACTATTAGAGTTTTCAAAGCATACATATACTTCCATGCCTTTTCTCCTATGTATACACACAATATTTTACAAACAAACAAAAAACCTATATGTACTGTGTTTTGTTAAATTTTAAACTAAACCATAATCTTTATGTCAGTAAATATCGATCTGTATCATCATTTTAGTGACTGCACAGTATTCCATTATATGGATGTACTATAGAGTAGCACATTATTGAATAGGATTTATGTTTTTCAGTGTTTTCTACATCTATAAACAATGTTATGATTAACTTCCTTGCTTAAAACAGTATGAGTTATATGAGCTTGAGAAGTATCTATAGCATATAAAAGCTTAAGTCTGCTAGAAAAATTAAAATGCACATTATATTGATATATGTATCAAAATTCTGAAAAAAACATTCAAGATATATTTTACTTAAATTGACAAAAGTAAAACTAAAAACTAATGGGATATAATTTTTCATATTTTCTGAGCCCACTTGCTTTATACCCTTGTGATCATTAAAATATATGAAAACAATGCAAACAAATAAATTTAAAATAGTTACTTTGGTAATTATTTACCATACGTACTCTCTACTCCTTTTTACCCATTACCAGTTTTTATTTAAATTTATAATCTTGAAGTGTTAGTGTTAACTTAAAACCTTGACGAATGCTTTGATTCAGTATAAATCACGAAAGATTTCTAGTAGGTAAAAATCTTCAAGTATAAGCATTTAATACATTTTGGGAAATTATTCAAGTATTTAAATAATAGTAAATAATTACTATTTTCAAGAAGTCAGCCAGTACAAATAAAGGACTAATTAAAATATGTCCAAGGACAGTTAAAACATATGTTAGGACACTGCAAAATAGTCAAAAACTCTAAATTTAATTGGTAAAAAGGGGGAAAAGATAAAGGAAAGATAATCTCTATTTGAACACAAACACCTGGGTAGTTTTCCAATATTGTACTTTTCATTTTTAACTACATTTAATAGACCAATAATTAAGGCTTTGAAGGGGGAGCAAAACAACTGAACAGCTTAAATTGTGAAAAGGCATTAAAAACATTTCCTAGCACAAGATAATTAGTAAAAATTAGTAAAACAGTACTATTAATTGTCATGGTAAACTTAAGAATGGACTGTTTAACACAAGTTTTGTTTTTGTTTTGTTTTGTTTTAGCTTTTCAAAAAAGTCAATGTAAAATCTTCAAATGTACCCAGGGAGAAGAAAATTAAGAACATTGCTTTGTGGGGTGCCTGGGTGGTGCAGTAGGTTGAGTGTCCAACTCTTGGTTTCAGCTCAGGTCCTGATCTTAGGATCCTGGGATAGAGCCCTGCCTTGGGCTCTTTGCTCAGTGCTTAAGTTTCTCTCTCCCTCTCCTTCTGCCCCTCCCCTCCACTCTCTTTCTCTCTCTCTAAAATAAATAAATCTTAAAAAAAAAAAAGAATGTTGCTTTGTGATTGTAAACCATCATATTAAAGGTTATTTTGGTGAGACTTTTCTGTACAGAAAATGTCATACATACTGGTGCCTTTCTGGTTGTATCTATGGTTAAGGGGAAAAATAAAATGTTACATGTGTAAGATATTTTCAGCACAGGGGAAAATAATACTGTGTCTTTAAGGGAATACTTAGGAATGGTGTGAATACCATCTTACCTATAAATGGCCTAATTTAAGGGACTAGTCAGAAATGTATCAATAAATGACTGAATATAGATGATACATGTGTTCCCAGCACCTACAGTAATACCCAGAGTTTAGTTATCATTCCATGATTAGTTGTTGAATTATCCCTCCATTTGTTTGCTTTTCAATTCTCTTCTCAGAATTTCACAGGAGAAATGAATTACAGAATAAGTCATTTTTATTAAATTTCATCCCATGAAGAAATAATTGAGAACTGATTAGTTACATAGATTGCTGCTTCTAATGTGGTGTTACTGGTGACATAGACTAGTGCTTATACCATTAAGGTGTTATCAATACTTTTATACTTCTCATGCTTTCCTTTTCATTATTGTTCAACAGTTGATTGATGAGTTTATCTTAGACAAAGCTTCTAATAATTGGCAAACTCAAATGAAAGTCTATTTGTATAGAAACATTTTTTTTAAATAAATTAATGGGATGCTGCTTCAAGACCAAGATTATTCCACAAGGTCCTGCTCCTACATTAAATCAAATGATCGCAATAACCCCTGAAAGACTAATGCTTATGCATGTGAAATTAATTGTTTCTTACATGTTTTAGGACATAACTTCCCATAAAGTATGACCTAGCAAATGGTTTCTTGGAGCCTCAAGAGAGTTAATGTATCTCACTTGGCTCCAAGGGAGCATGGTCAGTAGTTAGATAATCTAGTTACCATTGGAAATCTGAGAAAGATCTAACTCAATGTACAAATACTGAGGATATAATTACTATGAAACTTAAAAAAAAAAAACTACAAGTACTTTCACCCTCAAAAGTGAAAGTCAATTTTAAAAGTTTTCCCATTTGGCAACGAAAAATGATTAGTGTTCTCATTCAATTTCTCAACAAAAGTTTGGAGCCTTTGTATTTTAATTAAGAAAATATTAAGTTCTTTAGAAAGACATGCAAGAAAAGAATGATGATATATGTCATGACTGTCTCAGTTATCAGATTAAATTAGTTTCTTTGTTTTAGAACTAGTAAGGAAAATACCAGATATTGGCATCTTTTTTATAAAAAATAAGCCTTCTGTAATGTAGAATAAATAATTTTACACGTTTTGAGATTGGTTTAAAACTTCCAAAAGGGTAAATTATACTTTTGGGAAATCAATGACTTTTTAAATCAATATTTAGGAACATTTAAAAAGTAATTTTAAGCAAATTTACACAGGATGGCAAACAACTTTTTTTTTAAAGATTTTATCCATTTATTTGACAGAGAGACAGTGAGAGAGGGAACACAAGCAGGGGGAGTGGGAGAGGGAGAAGCAGGCTTCCCGCTGAGCAGAGAGCCCGATGCGGGGCTCAATCCCAGGACCCTGGGATCATGACCCGAGCCAAGGGCAGACACTTAACAACTGAGCCACCCAGGTGCCCCAAACAACTCCTTTTTTAAGCAAAATTGACATACTAATTATATTAGTTTCATGTGCACAACATTGATTCAACAATTCTATACATTACTCAGTGCTCACCATGGTAAGTGTAGTTACCATCTGTCAATGAACAATGTTATTACAATATTATTGGCTACATTCCCTATGCTGTACTCTTCATCTGCAGGACTTACTTTATAACTGGAAGTTTGTACCTTTTAATCCCCTTCATCTATTTTATCCATCTCCCCTCTGGCAACCACTGATTTGTTCTCTGTATTTAACAATCTGTTTATTTGTTTATTCATTTGTTTTGTTTTATAGATTCCACATATAAGTGAAATCATATGGTATTTGTCTTTGATTTACTCAGTATAATACTCTGTAGGTTCATGCACGTTGTTGCAGATGGCAAGGTCTCATTCTTTTTACAGCTGAGTAATATTCCATTGTGTATATATACCACATCTTCTTTATCCATTCATCTATGGATGGACACCTGGGTTGCTTCCATATCTTAGCTATTGTAAATACTGCTGCAATAAATGTAGGGTGCATTTATCTTTTGGAATTAGCATTTTCACTTTCTTTGGGTGTAAACTATTTTTTTTGTTGTTTCAAGGTTTTTTTTTAAAGAGTTTATTTATTTATTTATTTATTTATTTATTTATTTATTTATTTGTGAGGGACTGTGAGAGCGAGAGAGAGAGCATGAGCAGGGTGAAGGGCAGAGGGAGAAGTAGACTCCCTGCTGAGTGGGGAACCCGATATGGGGCTCAATCCCGGGATTCCAGGATCATGACCTGAGCAGAAGGCAGATGCTTAACTGACTGAGCCACCCAGGTATCCCTGTTTCAAGTTTTTATTTGAATTCCAATTATTTAACAAATAGTGCAATATTAGTTTCCAGAATTTAGTGATTCATCATTTACATATAACACCCGGTGCTCATCACAAGTGCCTTCCTTAATACTCAACGCCCATTTAACCCATCCCCCTGCTCACCTCCCCTCCAACAACCCTCAGTTTTTTCTCTATAGTTAAAAGGCTGTTGTATGGTTTGCTTCTTTTTTCCTCTTATGTTCATCTGTTTTATTTCTTAAATCCCACATATTAGTGAAATCATATGGTTGTCTTTCTCTGACTGACTCATTTCACTTAGCATAATACTCCCTCCACATCATCGCAAATGGCAAGATTTTATTCTTTTTTATGGCTGAGTAATATTCCATTGTACATATATAACACGTCTTTATCCATTCATCACCTGATGGACATTTGAGCTCTTTCCATAATTTGGCTATTGTTGATAATGCTGCTATAAACAGTAGGTGCATG